TGGCCCTGCGCGCGAGAGCAGACGAGCTCCTGGACTAGGCGGCAGCAGCGCGGTAGGCGGGCGGCAGTGCGCGTGCGCGAGGGGGCAGGGCAACGGGCGGCGACGAGGGTCAGAAAAATTAGAGGAGGCGGAGTGCCTTAAAGGGGCCGCCTGTGGCTCTCGCTTCCTGTTTGACAGCTACGGGCATTCATTCAGTAAAGGATGGGAGAGAATGTGCTTATGTGGCTCCCCTGTTGTCCCAGGCTCTGTCGCCAAGCTGATGGTTACAGCTCGGCTGGCCTGGCCTGTGCCTGCACTGGGGTCTTGGGAACCCTCTCGGTGCCACTGGTGGACGTCCACGAGGTCCGGAAGTCCGGAGCTCCTGCAGCCTCCCCAACTTACCGCAGGGCGGGAGATTCCTGCCGCTGCCAGCCACAGCTCAAGTTGGACACGCTTGCCTCTCCTCTGAGCTGGGCAACAAGGAGGCTGTGCTGAGCAGTCCCATACTCAGAAAAAGGTCTTAGAAACTATCGCGGCGGGGAGAGCTCTGCAGCAGTGTCCAGGGAAGGCAGGAAAAGGGGAAGCCTACATGCTGACAAGAGATGAGCTACCTGACATAGAAGATAAACAAGAATGTGGTCACAAAAGGCAAGTGTCCCTAATACAGGGGCTCTACGTCCTCTCGCTATGCATGCATCTGGAACCACTGCACCATTCAGTTGCCCCCTAGCTTAGGTGCCCAGAGTTCACATTCCAGGCAGCCGCAGCACCCACTACAATCTGGCTCCGGTTTAAAGACTCTATCTTCATTTGGGAGGCAGAGGCAGGAGGATCTTTGTGAGTTCGAGGCCAGCCTGGTCTACAGAGCAAGATCCAGGAAAGGCGCAAAGCTACACAGAGAAACCTTGTCTCGAAAAACAAACAAACAAAAAAAAAAATCTATCTTCACTATAATCCTCATTTTCACAAGACAGCTCCTGGCAGGCAGGCAGGCTGCCCTGAAGTAAGCAAAGTATTCACAGCCCTCTCTCCTGTAGGCCTCCTCTACTCCTGTCACAAATGGAGGAAAGACCCAGAGAGGACACAGGGACATAAGGAGAACCTGGAGCTAGGCTGCACCTTCTCACCTCACTGTCTAACACACATAGTCTTAGAATCTTGGAGGTGTCCATGGCCTGTGCAGCCTCTTATCTTTCAATGTGGGAATATCAAGTATAATACAGGGACCTGTGCAAAGGGACTGAGCCTTTGAAGCTGAGAATGTGTGTGGTTGCCATAGCTACAGGAGTGAGAGAAGACTGGCAATTGGCCTAGAATCCCCTTCCAAAGAGGGCACAGAAACAGCTCCCGTGGAACTGTGTGTCTAAGAGGCCCACAGCCTCTAATCCCAGCACTGGGAAGCCAGAGGCAAGCAGAACTCTGTGAGTTCGAGGTCAGCTTGATCTACATGGTGAGTTCCGGGACAGCCAGGTCTACATAGAGAAACTCTGTCTCAAAAACCTAAAAAACAGGGAGGGGGAAAAGTACTGTAAGCTAAGGCTGGGGAGATAACCCAGCTGGTAGTGCTTGCCTAGCATTTGAAAAACCACCGTGTTCAATCCCTAGCACCACATAAAGTGGGGGTGGTGGTGCATACCTGTCTCCCAGCACTCAGAGGTGGAGACAAGCAGATCAGAAGTTCAAGGCCAGCCTTGACTACACAGAGAGTTCAGGACCAATCTGGGCTACATGAAATCGTGTCTCCATCCTCCTCCTCCTCTCTGCTTTGCGGAGTGAGAATGAGGACCACAGAAGAGGGAAAATATTAGAGACTGTTGAATCACAATAACTAGGCTTTGACCAGGGATGAATTGGTAAAACTGCTTCAGGGAGCAATGCTTTTTTTTTTTTTAAGATTTATTTATTATGTATTATTTTTATATGCTGGTGTGTGTGTACCTGCATGAGTTTATATGCATCACATGTCTACACGAGCCAGCAGAAGCCAGAAGAGAGTGATGGGTTCCCTGGAACGGGAGTTGCATGTTGTTCCCAACCTGAAATGTGGGTGCTGGGAATAGAACCAATTCTTCTACAAGAGCAGCAAGTGTTCCTAACTTCTGATCCATCTCCTTAGCCCCCTAGCAATTCTTATAAATACACCATTTCTAGGAAGTTCCTCTCCCTTCCCACTCGAAGCTCTCCTACCAGCCAAGCAAACTCCCAACAGCCAGTATCCACTTGGATTTGCCATCTTGATCCCCAGATAAATGAGTGTTGCAGCTGTGTCTCCAAGCGGCTAGTTCCTTCTGCCCAGTAACATCTTCTTTCACTGCAGGTCCTGCCTCAGTGTCCCCTGGGCCTGGCTGTGGTGGGTCAGAAGTCTCACACAGCAGTCTTGGCAGTTGGCAAGGAAAAGGATAAGAAGGGGTGACATCTAGTAAATACTGAATACTTCTATCCCCCTCCTATAAATGGATGGGCGAGTGTACGATGGATATCTAGACAGATGATTTTGTGTTTGGGTGTGTGATAGATAGCTGGATAGATAGCAGATTAAGTGTCTAGATGGATGGATTAGTGGACAAATGGGAGCCTAGATGGATGGATGGGAAGATGGATGAATGGGTATCTGGATAGATGGATAAGTGGATAGACAAATGAGCATATGGGTGAATATGTAGCGATAGGTGAGTGAATGGGTATAGAGGGCACAAGGTTCTTGCACTTACAGATGAGCACTAGGGAAACCAAGAATGTTACACATGCAGGGGTGTCTCCTCAAAGGGAAGAAATAAAATACGGCTTTCCTCCCAGAAAGCTGGCAGTGGATGTTTTTAATGACCTGGTGACCTTTGTTATCTATAGTGCCAGACCCAAATCCCCAGAATGTTTATCACAGACTCTCCTTTCCTAGACCTTTATCTTTAGCTCTTAGTTAATGGGATCCATCCTTAGGGGAAATGTCATATGTAGATGAATTTCTAAGCGGTCTTATTAAATAAAATACATGGAGCCAGATACAGAGATGAAAACCTGAGAGATCAGGGAAATAGGGAAAGCCACCACTAACCTCCCCTCACCCACTCAGCCGCTTCCAAAGGCGAGCTACTTCCTGTCTACCCAGCTACTTCCTGTCTACCCACACCAATGTGCCTTTTTGTTCTATTCTGTCATTTGCTCTCTCAGCCCAGGTACATCATTTCCTCTTCCTGCCCAGCTCTGTCACTTCCTGTCTGTCTGTACAGACCTCTAGACCTCCATGGTTAACTAGTGTTGGAATTTAAGGCATGTGCCACCACGCCTGGTTCTATTCCTAGTGTGGCCTTGAACTCAGAGATCTAGACAGATCCCTGCCTGCCAAGTGATAGGATTAAAGGCATGTACCATTGCCTGACTTCTATATAGTGGCTGGCCTTTTCCTCTGATCTCCAGGCAAGTTTTATTTTATAAAACACAGTATATTGGGGGACACAATACATCACCACAGTCATATGTATTTTATAGCCTGCTGACCTCTATGCTATCTCAGTCAGAGACCACACCAGATCCCAGGCCTTTAAGCTATAGAACCTACGTTTAAGGTCACATGTACTTTGCAAAGAAGTTTCTATGTCGTCATGCCCTAAGCTTTATTATGGACTTAGAACTGGAATGATTGTTGCATAGAAACTCTTTTCCAAATTCTACTGTGTTTAAATATACCTATAATAAACAACCTGGCATCAGACTCCTAAAGTTTGGTTCAACCTGACTTTGTCTTTTTTTATTCTCACCTCTTTGCATTTTCATTTCCCTGCTTGCCAAGACACTTGCAGGGATCCTTGCAGGTGGGTGGGGAAGAAGTAGGTGGGTGGGTGGATGGATAAGTGATAAGAAACTGGCTCTTCAAGGAAGAGAGCATCCCATGTGAACAGGCATAGAGCTGGGGAGTCTAGCTGTGACAGAGCTGAAATTTTTTTGGTTTTTCGAGACAGGGTTTCTCTATATAGCTTTGTGCCTTTCCTGGAACTCACTTGGTAGCCCAGGCTGGCCTCGAACTCACAGAGATCCACTTGGCTCTGCCTCCCGAGTGCTGGGATTAAAGGCGTGCGCCACCACTGCCCGGCCCAGAGCTGAAATTAAAACCATCACCTGCTACAGAACTTAAATTTTTTAGGGAAACCTCATTTTGTTCCCTAGTGAAGACTGTTTCCTCAGCAACAGTGTACCACCCAAACTCAGAGAGGATGTGCTGCAGGGGCTGAGGAGCAGCCCCGTGGTGGGAATGCTGTGCCCTGCAACAGGGACAGAGGAACCTCTGGCCCTTTAACTGAGCCCAGAGCTCTGAGGCAGGGTAGATTCCGATGGATGGCAGTTGAAGAGGGCGGGTCTGGAAACCAAGGGACCCTAGGTCCCTGGGGTTCCAGGAGCTGCCCCCACCCCCAGATTCCCTAACTGGACAGCAGGCTCTGCTCATTCCAGGAGCTACAGCTCTTGCCAGAAGAACCTGATGCTGAGTACCAGCTTAGGTAGGCAAAGAGTGGTGTGGTGTGGTGTGGTGTGTGTGTGTGTGTGTGTGTGTGTGTGTGTGTGTGTGTGTGTGTGTGAATTCTTTTCCCTGGCAGCTCTGGGGGCAGCTAACAAGTTTGGGGGGATTTGTAATATCAGTTTCTCCTGTCATCAGCACCCCCCTGCCAATTTTGCCTTGCCGTTCCCTAAGTACCGTGTGCCCATATGGTTCCAGGGCTACACCTGGCTGTCTCACACACACATCTGTGTCACACACACACACGATTAAAATAATAAAACTATACCTTTAGCTAGGTATGGTGATACACACCTCCAGTAGCAGCAATCTGGAGTCAAAAGAAGATAGATACATATGAGTTTGAGGCCAGCTTGGTCTACGTAGTGAATTCTGGGCCAGCCAAAGCTATACAGTCTCAAGAGAAAAAAAAAAAAGTAGCCAGGCATGGTAGCCTTCTCCTTTAATCCCAATACTTGGGAGGCAGCAGAACAGCCAGAGCTACACAGAGAAACCCTGTTTCAAAAAACCAAAACAATTAAATATATGTATGTCTGTTATCATTGGTATACACACACACACACACACACACACACACACACACACACACACACACATCATTGTAGATTACAGGGATGCAGGGAGGTCGGGTATTTCCACTGCAAACAAAGTCAACACTTCTGCTTGAGATTCCCAGAAACCACTTAGGGAAAGGAATGGGGGTCCTACCCAAGGGCATGCTGTTGCTAGTTGTGGATGTTGTTGATTTCCCTGAAATTCTTGGTTCCCTGCTGGCCACAGGCTTCAACTGGATCCCCAGGTGATGGGCTCCCTCCCTTCCTACATCCCATAATTTCCAGTCTTTCTATCCTGCTTCCCTCAGCCTGTTGCCCAAGCACAGGAAAGTGAGTTGGATTCGCAGAGCCTGTCTGGCTTTGCATACAGATTCTTTCTTCCTGGAAGCCCAGGCCTTCCCTGTGCAAGCTGTTTCTCTGAGACAGGGTTTCTCTGTGTAGCCCAGGCTCTCTTGGAACTCACTCTGTAGACCAGGCTGGCGTCAAACTCAGAGATCCTCCCCCTGCCTCTGCCTCCAAAGTGCTGGGATTAAAGGTGTGCTCCACCGCCCCACAGCGCTTTTCTGTACTTCTCTCTAGAGAACTCCTCACTAGGGTGGTTACAGCACAGCTAACTTAGCACCCACCCAGCTTCAGAGAGTCCCTGTCCCAGGAAAAACCACACACACAGTTGCTCTCCTGGACTGGCGCTCCTCGTGGCCCCACCATTCCTGAGGTATCTAAGATCCATCTGCTTGCCTGCCTCCTGGCAGGGACACCTCACCACCTAGGTACCTGCTGAGAGGGCAGAGTAAGGCTCAACAAACAACCATGAGAAGTCTGTTTGCACTGCCTGCCGGGTTCAAACCCTAGACTGTACTCTGCTGGCATACAGCAGGCCAAAGTCCCTGCCTAGGATAGCGCCCTGCTCCACCTCCAGGTGGTGCTGGGAGCTCAGCCACAGCACCGGATGTGTCTCAAGACAGCCTGGGCCCCAGACCAGGCAGGGCAAGTCGTGGGGCAGGAATCCCAGGAATGTGGCCCTGCTTCCAAAGTCAGGCTGCACCTGGCTCTGTCTTGATAGCTCCTCCCACCTCGGTTCAGGTTGAGCCCCCTGGACTAGAAAGGCCTGACAAAGAAAGGTGGTTGTAACAGACCACAAGGAGCTCAGAGGTCCATTCTATCTATCTGTCTCTGTCTGTCTATCTAGCGTGTGTATGTGTGTTGTTGACTGTTTTTTATTATTTACTGTGGCTTCCCCTTAAGCAACGGCTGTCCTAATCAAGACTGCACCTCTGTCTCTACCAGCAGGGGTCAGCTGCGAAGGCCTAGCCTGAGGGAATTCTGTTCCCTCAGGCACCAACTCTTTCAAAGCTATTAAGGGAAACTCTATCTAGATCTGTGTCCTGCTAAAGAAGGCAGAATTCAAAGAGGTTGAATAGCAAGTAGCTAACCTTCCTTTGCTGGCGGCTTCCGTGTCCTTCTGCTCAGCCCCCACTTAAGAATCCTAGCTACACGTGGTTCCTCCTTACCACTTCCTGTCAGCTACTTGCCAACGCAGCCTCCTGCTCTCAGGTTAATTTTATTTAATCAAACACGTGAAACACATCTTTGCATTGATAACCAAAGCAACACACTTTAAAATAATACTTCACAACCTATGTGTGCTTGTGGAGGTAAGCGTGGAATGTTTTTCCTCTATTGTTCTCCACATTATTATTATTTTTACTTTTTTGTTTGTTTATTTTTTGGAGGCAGGATTTCTTTGTGTAGCCCTGGCTGTCCTGGAACCTGTCTTGTAGATCAAGCCTGCCTCAAGTTCACAGAGATTTACCTGCCTCTGCCTCTGGAGTGCTGGGATTAAACGCATGTGCCACCACCACCTGGCTATTTTTACTAATTTTTTAAAGATTTATTTAGCCGGGCGGTAGTGGCGCATGCCTTTAATCCCAGCACTCAGGAGGCAGAGCCAAGCGGATCTCTGTGAGTTCGAGGCCAGCCTGGACTACCAAGTGAGTTCCAGGAAAGGCACAAAGCTACACAGAGAAACCCTGTCTTGAAAAAAAAAAAAAAGAAAGAAAGAAAAAATAAATAAAGATTTATTTATTTATTATGTATACAATATTCTGCATGCATGCCTGCACGCCAGAAGAGGCACCAGATCTCATTACGGATGGTTGTGAGCCACCATGTGGTTGCTGGGAATTGAACTCAGGACCTCTGGAAGAGCAGCCAGTGCTCTTAACCTCTGAGCCATAGCTCCATTCCTATTTTTTACTATTAATGCTATTATGTATTATGATTATTATTACTGGGTTTTATTTTGTTTGAGACAAGGTCTCACTACGAAACCCTAACTAGCCTAGAACTATATAGACAGGTTGGCCTCGAATTAACAGAGATCCTAGGATTAAAGGCTAGACCACCATGACTGCCTCCACCTTATCTTTTGAGGCAGGGTCTCTTGCTGAACCTGATGCCCTCAGAATTGGTTAGACTGGATGGCCAGCCAGATCCTGGGATAGCCCTGTCTCCACCTACCCAGTTCTGAGGTTGCACACGCATGTCATAGTGCCTGACTTTTATAGGGGCACTGGCGATCCGAACTCCTGCCAGCACAGCAGGTACTTTGCTCACTGAGCCGTCTCCTCAGCACACAAGGCCATCCTTTGTGAAGTATTCATTTGGCAGCCAGTATTTTGCCTATGCTCACCCATCATGTCAATCTTGTCAAGAGAAGGCCATCTGCCCATGGTCCCTCTGAGCACCTACTGTGTGCCTTTCACTTGTAAGAGCTTTGGTCATCTCATTCAACCTTCTGATGCTTACAGATGAGAGAGCCTCAGTGACTTGTGCACGGTCCCATCGAGGAATGACAGACCGGGCCTGACCCTGCTCTTCCGGCCTCCTTAGCCCTACTATATGGTGTGGAAGCACACCAGCTCTGGTCGGGCAGGGGACAGATGTCACTCTCTTACTACCGTTCCCACAGCGGTCTTGCAGGCTGCCCTTCACACAGGCATTTCCTCTCCCGCCTCACTTCCTTCTTGCTGCCTCTTGGAAACTGCAGGATTCCACTCTTTTGGGGGATTTTAGGATGATAGATGCTCGTCTAGAATAAACCCAGGACTGACCTGCCAATCACAGGCACACTCTGAGAGGGGAGGGAGGGCCTGTGTTTGAGACATGCTGGTGTGTCCCCCACCCACAAGCAGAATAGGGAACTCAGCGGACTGAGGCACCGAATACAGACCAGGCTGTGGATATAGCGCTTCCCTCCCTGGGTTTCCCACACGCTCGCTCGCAGCAGAGAATCCCCAGGGAGGAGCAAGCGTCCTAAAATAGAAGCGCTGACACAGGAAACACTTGCACAGGACCAGAGGCCCAGGCTGCTGCTGGACTCCAGCACTGTGAGCAAGCTCTCTCTATACCAGACTCCCCCAGGATGGCATTTCTGTTTGCTGACCCTTTCTTCCCGTCTTCTGGGGTTCCCACACGCACAACAGCTCAGGCTGGAACATCTGTGGGAATGGGAGTGAGGAGGCGTTCCAAGGCTCAGTCTGAGTCTCACTGGTAGCTGAGGCCAGCACCAGAAGTGGGGACAGCCACTCTGCCACACCCAGACCAGTGGCCAGAGCCGCACTGCCAGTGGGACACAACTGCCTGCTGTAGGACAAGTGGGCCGGCCCAAGTTGGGGCAAAAGAGATGTGATACCTTAGGTAGCAAGGCACTGGTTTGTACCTGACTCTCTGGGCCTCAGGTGTAAGCTGTTGAGGACCAGAGGGGTAGGGGGAGTTTCTTGGTTCAACTAATAGAAACTGTGTTCCCATGTGTTGTGTGACAAGACTTTTTTTAGGGAGACACTACACACACACACCTACTCACCCCAGACAGGGAACCCACGACAAACCAAGCTATAAATACCACCAAAGTCTAACCAGTGAGTTTTATTGGTGTGACTTAGGGGTGACTTACAGGACCAAAAATGACTGAAAGACAGCTGTATCACCAAAGCCTATCCGAGCGTGGGTGACAGCTCATAAACTCTGGGGGCATGGAGCACACTGCACAGCCCACAGGCATCTCAATAGGTTGGAGAGTGCCTTTCTAAGTGGCTCAGTTGATTCAAACCTCTTCCTGGAAATTGGTCTGGTCTCAGGGTCTTTGCCACTTGGCCTATCTGAAAGTCTATTTTTATTGTTTACTCTGGGAGAGAACGGCCTACTGAATCTGGTCAGTTCCAGGGACTTCCTGAAACTATTTTGAATTTACCTTCCTGTTTAAGGAGCATCCCTGCAAGATGGAATGTTTCAATCTCCAAGGAAACTGTTACACAACACCTGGACCGCTGAAATGGCTTAGTTGGCAGAGTGCTTGCCTAGCATGCACCAAGTCCTGGGCTCCATCCCCAGCACCATATAAAGTAGGCTTGGTGATGTGTGTTTGTAA